CGGGAGCAGCTCGTGGCGCGCCGGAGCTCGTCCGCCTCCCGGCGTGGACAGCGGGACACGGCGGCGCGGAGTCGTCTGCGGGCGGGGCGCGCGTCCCTGAGCGTGTTCGCGGGGTGCTCCGGGTCCTGCGGTCAGGGCCTGGCCAGGTCCTGAGACGCCAGGCCGGACCGGCTGTCAACAGCCGGGGAGAATCACTTGTCAAAGATGAACGACTTGCGTCCCGGGAAGGCGTCCGGAGGCAGAGTCTCCAGAGATGCGTTGCTACGGATGGTCGGAACGCAGCCCCGCGGTCGGGGTAGCTTTAGTGCTTTGCGCGGAGCGCGTGCGCGTGGCGCAGAGTCGGGGAAGTGTGATCGGAGACTCGAGAAGGGCGGTGGTCCTGGGAGGTCTGACTCGCTTTTTTAAGCGAGTTAGGTCTCTAGCCTCCCTGGAGTCCGGGACCCTGGACCCTATTCTCCAGGTGTTCACTGGATCAAGCCAGCCGTAGAATGTTCTCAGGCTCCTGAAGACCGCTCCCAGACAGCTCAGATCATGGGACTCAGACTGGCCCCCTTCTGACTGGCAGCTTGTTGTCCACTGCTCCCTTCTGTCAGCTCTCCCCCTGCCTCCACTTCCTGTGAGGTTCAGCTGGTGTCCACACTCCAACTCTGAGTGCTGCTATGGGTTGTGGCCCAGGACTAAGCCCCTTCCCTTTGCTGTATCCCTGGGGATACTTAACTTGCTATTTCCACAGCCTACAGATCTCCCCTAATCTTCAGGGATGTTCCTGGCCTACTGCTTTGGACTGAGAGGGGTGTGGGGAAAAAGTAACCTCAAGCTCAAGCATTGTCCATGAAACTAAGCAAGACCTGAAACCCTGAAGCTCTAAGTCCAGGAAAGGCCTGCAGGCAGGATTGCAGAGCCCAGCTGGAACAGACCTGTCTGCTGGATAACTAGCAGGGGTTAGCCACAGGCACACTAGCTCCACAAGACCTTCATTTTACCTTCCATCCACACACTAGGACGAGTCAGGCAGGATGGGTGTTACAGTGAGATGGTTAGCCTCACCGTGTTCATGCCAGTGCTTACTATGGGCCACCATGACCCCTGGCACATCTCTACCTAGGTATGGTCAAACTCCTCTGGCAGCGGGGAGTAAGTCTCCTCTCTGTCCCCCTAGGCCTACTCGCTGCCTTACTCCCTAGAACCTTTTAGATCTCTGCAGCACATGGAAGATACGATGTAGCTTACTTGGTGTCAGATTTGGCAGTAGAGGCGTTTAAAAAACAAAACACACGGGCAAAGCTACACAGAGAAACCCTGTCTGGAAACACACACACACACACACACACACAAACACACACCCTGCATTTAGAGTACTACAGTCAGCATGCAGATGTACTCAAAACATGCAAGTTTTGAATTGTCTTCAATGTTACTTGAGGCTGTTCCTTCGCTGTTCTGCTTGAGCCTTCCTAAGCCCCCTCAGTAAGTCTAGCCAGCCTCACCCGGGACTTCTGACCTGTTGCAGTACTTGATATATGTTACAGTGCCCCCA